TCAGTCTTCAGTAAAGTGCTTTTACTCACTTGACTATATCATTCATAGTGACATGACATGTATTAATTAATTCAGGAACTATTTATTTAGCATCTATTAAATGAAAATTTCCATTAGTTACCTAGACAATAGGAATAGTAAGGGAGATTTACTAGAAAAATTGATTTAGTCTTTTTAATTTAAAAATACTTTTCTACAATAATTTCTCAGACCTATGCTATATGAGAATTCTTTTTCTATTTTTTCAGAACTCTGCCTCGATGGTATCCAAACCAACATTTTAGGAAGGAGTTTTGTTATTGCCATCTGAGGAAGCACTGCTAGTTGTCTGGAATGAAGATGGTTCATAATGACTTCTTTCCTTTATGCTAACAATATGCTCCATTCTAAAATATTTTGATAAAAGACATAATTTTAAGTTTAAAATGTTATCATTGCATTCAGAGGACAGGGTTTTATAAGTCCTATGAAGGGTGCCTCCTCCTGAATTGGGAATCAAGGTTAGAAAATATAACCAGCAGAAATCTATGCTGGTAGAAGACATTAAATGATATAAGATCAGTTATCTGAGTCTAATTCACAATGAGGCCTTGAATAGACATGTTTGTTCCTTCAGGCTTGAGTGGACTGGAGGTGGGGAGACCTGGAATTAAACCTTCCCACTGGGACTGGGTCAAGTATCCTCATATAATGGGCAAGTATCCAATCCAGCAGACATAATACAGGGTTGAGAGGGTTTAGATGACAATTGTGCTGTAACTGATGGATTTGTTGAAGAGTTTCCTGAATAAGATCTTCTATAAGGAAAAGAAAAAAATTTGTCAATGCTCATTTGATCTGTCCAAGGGCCAGAGTGTCCTAATCTTAGTGAGACTGTACTTGTTGTCCAGTGGAATTATGCTCAGGTCAGGGAAGAAAAGTATAACTGACTACTTTACTTGGGTGGGATTGGGGGGGACCTCTAAGACTATCCAATGCCTTTTGTTCATGTTCTTTGTTCACCATAACTCTTGCTTGATTTTTCTCCAGGGTGATTTTGCCCACCATAAGCAAATTACCTGGTTGTGTAACAAAGAATTCTCTTTTTCTAAATAAATGTTACCATTTCTGTTTTGTACAGTATATTCCTTGAGAAACTGTGAAGTGTCACTCTGTTCCCCAGGGACTAAATCACTTTTTTTTTTTTGAGTTGGAGTCTCACTCCGTCGCCCAGACTGGAGTGCAGTGGCCGCTCCCGGCCACCGCAGCCCCAACCTGCTGGACTCCAGCGATCCTTCCACCTCAGCCTTCCTAGTAGCTGGAATTATAGGCATGCGCTACAATGCCCAGCTGATTTTTGATTTACTGTAGAGATGAAGTCTCGCCAAGTTGCCCAGGTGGGTCTCGAACCCGCGGGCTCAGGCAATCTACTCACCTCAGCCTCCCAAAGCGAGGGATTACAGGTTGAGCCACTGAGCCCGGCTAAATCACTCTTAGGATAAATGCATGTAATCTAGTTTTAGACAAACTAATCTGAGATGTGAGCCTTAATGACCTCACAATTCTGTTTAGTGAAGCCCCTCTAAAAAACTATGCCTTAATGAATTCATGACCAAGTCCTCAAAAGTAAATGTAGAGGCCAGTCTCAGTGGCTCAGTCTGTAATCCCAGCATTTTGGGAGGTCGAGGCTAGTGGATTGCCTGAACCCACGGGTTTGAGACCAGCCCAGGCAAATTGGTGAGACCTTGTCTCTACAATAAATAAAAAATTAACTGGGCATGGTAGCCCGCACCTGTAGTTCTGGCTACTCGGAAGACTGAGGCGGAAGGGTCACTGAAGGCCAGCGAGTCAACGCTGGGGTGGCCATGAATGTACCACTGTCCTCCAGCCTGAGCGACGAAGTGTGACTCCAACTCAAAAAATAAAAATAAAAAAAGGAAATGTAGAAAAATCTAAAATTGACAGATGGGAAATTATCAAGCTAAAAATATTTTGTACAGCAAAGAAACCATCAAGAGAGTAAAGAGACAACACACAGAATGGAAAAAAAATATTTACAATATATAAAACTATTCAACAAAGGCCTAACATCCAGGATCTATAACGAACCCAAATGAATTGATAGGAAAGAAAACAACTAATAACCCCATTAGAAAGCGGGCAAAGGACATGAAGAGACAATTCTCAAAGGAAGACATGCAAGCAGCCAATAAACATGAAAAAATGCTCAGCTTCACTAATCATCAGAGAAATGCAAATCAAAACTACAATGAGATACCACCTCACATATCATTAAATAATCAAAAAACAAGTGTTGGTGAGGCTGCAGAGAAAAGGAAACACTTCTACACCATTGATAAGAATGTAAGCAAGTTCAACCTCTGTGGGAAGCAGTGTAGCAATTTCTTAAAGAATTAAAAATTGAGCTACCATTTGACTCAGCAATCCTGTTCCTGGGACTATACCAAGAAGAGCATAAATCACCCTACCAAAAAAACACCTGCATGTTTATTGGCAGCACTATTCACAATAGCAAAAACATGTAACCACCCCAGATGCCCATTAAAAGTGAACTGGACATATACATGATGGAATACCACACAGCCATAAAGAACCAAATGACATCCTTTGCAGCAACATGGATACAGCTAGAGACCATCATTCTACGTAACCTATCACAGAAATAAAAAACTGATTACTGCATGTTCTCACTCCTACGTGGGCACTAAACATGGGACACACAGGCACAAAGGCAGGAACAATGAATACTGGGTACTGCTAAAGGAGGGAGAGAGAGAGGAAGAATAAGGGACACACAACCACCTATTGGGTACTGGGTCCACTACTGGGGGAAAAAGGGCTCACCAAAAGCCCAAACCTCGCCTTCACACAATTTACTTACATAGCAAATCCTCACATGTATCCCACAGCTCTAAGATGAATTTTAAAACAAACTTGTGCCTTAAAGTATGCATCCTGACTCTTCTGTTTCTGGTTCATTTCCTCAAACATGAGGTCTAACCTGCTCCTGTTAAATCACTCATTTCTTCTTTTTTTTTTTTTTGAGTTGGAGTCTCACTCCGTGGCCAAGCCTGGAGTGCAGTGGCGTCTCCTGGCCACCGCAGCCTCGACCTGCTGGGCTCCGGCGATCCTTCCGCCTCAGCCTTCCGAGTAGCTGGAATTACAGGCATGCACTACCATGCCCGGCTGATTTTTTGATTTATTGTAGAGATGAGGTCTCGCTGCCCAGGCGGGTCTCGAACCCCGCGGACTCAGGCAATCCACTCACCTCAGCCTCCCAAGGCGCGGGATTACAGGCTGAGCCACCGAGCCCGGCAAATCACTCATTTCTTGTACATCTTTCATCCAGTCATCTCAGGTCTCATTGTTATTTCATAGCTTTGGTCCAGTCGTGCAAGGTTATAGCTTTAACCTTTCTTGATGACAGTTCTCCGCCATGTTTTGGCAATGCATCTATGGACTAAAAGAACACTCTTACTCTCAGAAAGTTCGGCTTTTGGTATTCCTCCACGGACTATTGACCCTAGATTCCATCCTTATTGTCTGATTAGCTCTTTCCAGGTTTCTCCTGAGGCAATGATCCTGGCCAAGTACCTGATAGACAGCACAGTAAAGAGCACAGATTTCTGAGTCTGACTGCCTTTGAGCCTAGCTCCACGTCTTGTTAGCTGTGTGACCTTGTGCAAGTCACTTAAAACTTCTGTGCCTTAGTTTCTTCATCTGTGAAATGGAGATAGTTAACAGCTACTCATAGGACTATTGTGGCTGAGTAACTATAATGACCGTGTCTGGCACATAATAAGTATGCCACATGTGTATGCTACTGGTATTATTATTGTCCTTCCTCTGAGGTATGAAACATAGGGCTTATTACTACCTTGAATGGGGAGAAAGCAAAAGGGATACACAGAGGAAAAACAGATTTGTATATCAAAATAGTTCATCTTAGCACAGAGGTAATCCTCAAATTAGAAAATAATCCCATAGTATTGCTTTTGAAATTTAATGTTAGCAGCTTGAATTATAATTAAAATTATAAATGGCTAATGTCTACTTCTGTGTGTGTAAATCCCTTCAGCCTGTCTTTTTTTCTTTCCAGTAAATCATCGGGATTACCTTTTCCTTAATAAGCTTCAAAATTTCTTAGTGAATGGCAGGAAAATGTTTAATAAGAAGACCAAATACCGACAATGCTTGAGACTAGAACAGAAAACAACAAAGAACAAAGAACAGAAAGAAAACACAACCTTGGTATTTTACTGAAATCTGAGCTAATAAATGGAGACCACAGAACAAATAGTAAACAACTGCTTAGGTTACATCAGAATAGAAAGAGAAACGGTGAGCCTGGATTTCCAGTCTGAAACTTAGGCAATATGATGAATGGAGCTAAGAAGTTGACTATTACACATTAGACAATCTTCTAGAGAATTTTAAAACAAAAGGAACAACTTGTTCAGAGTATAATTGATGCCAGCAGATAAATTCCACAATCTCGCACCTCAGGGAATACTTTCGCTTTTCTTAAAGATCAAATAAACTGACCATTCTATCTTGGAAATTATTAACCTGCATCATTTTTTTATAACTAAGAAAAATTTGACTCTCTCCATATTTTGGGTGAAATGTCAATTTGATTCATATCTTCACAGGTAAAATTTTATTATCCTTAGTACTTATAAAGCAAAACTTCAGCTGACCTTTGGTTTTACTTAATCTTCAACTTAGCATTACTGAAGTTAAAGTACAAAAATTCTCTGGATAAACACAATAATAAGAAGTTTTAAAAAGAGATATCTTTATAAAGATATATCATTGAATCTTTTATGAAAAGTCATACAAATAGGAAAGAAAAGAAAATATCAAAGTGTTGAGATTTGTCCTTGAATCTCTGTCTCTCTTTTAGTTTTCCTTCCAGTTAAACCAATTTCCACATGTTTGTTCTGGGTTAAAGCCAGAATCAACATTGTCCTTATTTCTAATCAAATAATGGAGAAAACAATTGCAAATTCTAGATTCAGTTAGTGGATCCTGGGAAGCAGAGTGTCTGGATGGAGCCTGAGCTGTGTCTCTGACTCATTTCTGACTTTAGGCAAGTTATTTAATGTCTCTGAGAGTTTGACATGATTGTAATAATGTTAATTATTTCACAGGTATGATAGCAATCGTAACTCAAGAAACAACCATTGGCTTTTGAGAGAGGTCAGGTTGATTAACAAGAGGGCTGTTTCTGCAACTTGGAAGAGATTTAGAATTCTAATTCTTTTCCATTTCCTTTATATTTTGAATGACTCAAATGGGAGTTTGATGTAAATGATAGGATTTGTAGTTTCAATATATAAAATGAAAAATAAAATGAACCATATGTTAATTTTCATTTCAGAAATAAAAACTTCAGAAACGTTTTTCTTTGTTTATTTGGGGATCAAACATATTTAGTTTTTTAAGACTTTCATTGAGTATGAACTCTTGAAAAAAATACAAAGACATAGTTATATTCCATTTTCAGAAAAGGAAAAAAATGGGAAGAAAATAACCTAAATGGAGTCTCTAAGCTTGTGTTTATGGGTAAATTTTTAACTAACTGTCTTACATTAAGGTTATAGTCCATTTTCGAGTGCTAACTTATTAGACATACTTCCTTCAATAACTTTTTCCTTCTTTTTTATTTCTCTTTTAGTATCCTTTCATAATACTTGCTTAAAACATAACTTTTTTGAAATCTTTACATGCTGATGTACTTTTGTAATTGTGTTTTTAAAAGTTGCATATCAGTTGCAGAACTTCTCATTTCCAAATTTAATATTTTGTTTTTAAATTTAATGCAGTATAATTAATTAGATAATTTTAAAATTTTTAGTTGGGAAAGAATTAGAATTTGTAGCCTTAAAATAACTTACATCAAATAAAACAGTCCATCAAAGAATAGCCATTTGAAAAAAAATAATTTTATAATAATTAAAAGTTTTGAAACAACCTAAAGCAAAAATATTATAAAAGAAATTTAACTAACTGTGTAGTATGTAACAGAATAGTTTGGTACAACTTTATAAAAAGCCATATATTTGCAGAATAAATAGTGGTTTACTATAGTGAATGATAGAGACCAGATTTTCAAAGCAAGTCTTTTTGTTTTTTTGTTTTGTTCTTGCTGTTTCTTTGTTGGGGGGGGTATATATATATTTTTTTTAGTCAGGGCCTCACTCTGCCAGACTGGAGTGCAGTGGCAGGATCACAACTCAACACAGCCTCAACCTTCTGAACTCGGGCATCCTTCCACCTCAGCCTCCAGAGTAGCTGGAACTATAGGCAAGTGCCACCATGCGTGTATAATTTTTGCATTTTTTGTAGAGATGAGGTCTCATTTTGTAGCCCAGGCTGGTCTCAAACTCCTGGCCTCAAGCAGTTCTCTTGCTTTGGCCTCCCAAAGTGCTGGGATTACAGGCATGAGCCACCCACCACACCGGGCCAGTTTCTTAATACCTAAGTATTTCTTCAATATTGTAGAGGATGTTGGTTAGAATTACAAATGAAGACAATGAGAAATTTGAGAGGACTTAAGATATTATCAGGATTATTCTAAAGATGATCAAAATAATACGATGATTTTTAAAAATAAAAATGATGACATTTTGAAATGTTTTATTGTGTAAGTACTGCCAGACTAGGAGCTGCCTCTTTGATTGGATTATTTTAATGGAAATGAGATAAAAATTTCAGCATACCAAGAGACAGAGACCTGACTAAAATTTTCATTCACCCTTTTTTTTTTTATGAAATCTAATGCTTAGCAGTATTTCTATACCTTATATGCTATATAATATGTTATATAACTACATATACATATATATTCTGTGTATATATATAAAGTGCATCTTAGAGCATTTTCAAAACATACTTTCACTTATGCAAGAGCCAGAATCAAACATTCAGATAAAAACATGATATTTTTAAGCACTGAGTTTTTCAGCTACCTTATTCACATCTGAAATAAAGTACTTGACCCCACAAATGAGGGATCTTGAACCAAATACAAGAATAAAAATGTCAACAGATAGCATTAAAGCAAAGTGTGGAAGGCACATACATTTCTTGGCTTTTAACTCTAGACTCCCAAATATTATCTAGAAGTACTTTAAATAATAAAGATTTGGTTGCTATCACACAAGAAAAAGGGGATATTATTTTTTAATACTGATTTTTTAGTAGCTCCCTTTCTCAAAGAAAAATTCCAAGTAATACTATGTTAAATATATATTTTTTCAGTAAGAAGAACAATTGAGTTAGATTTAAAAATAAATGACATTTATATCTTATTTATATAATGATCTCCCAGATTAGTGTAACTATACCTAGTGAAAGTCTCTTAAAGAAATAACTTTAAGCAAACAATTCTCCCTCTCTAATACTTATTTCCTCAAGTGTTGCTGATATTTAACTGGATTATCTCACTTCCTTTAATTATGTTTGACTGTGTGTTTTAACCTCAGGGGACAATGCTGTCCACTTCTAAAATCTCCTTATGTATATTTAAAAAATTTTTGTTTTCCACTATTATTTTTTTACTTGCTTACAGCAGGATAATTATCCTTGTTTCTTATTTTCTGTAACATGAAAAGAACTTCATGTTTATGGCTATGTAACTGATTACATATTTAAGAACTCTCCATTATACAAAGGGACATTTTTTTCTTTTTTTCTTTTTTACTACTTGAGTTTTATGATACATTTTAAAATTAAATAAACATTAGAAGGACATGGACAATTTTTTAAAGGAACATGACATAATTTTGCTCAAGAAATGTATTTATTGCCAACTGAAAATATGAATCAACCAAAAAATTTATTATGAGATAACTTTAATAATGGCCTTAGCCAAGTGAGATAGTCAAATTTTCAATATCTTAGATATTAAGTTTTCAGATATTTATTTTATTGTAGGACTATATAAATCCAAATATCTATTTTAAAACCAAAATAAGTTATCACATATCCAAATATCACATTTGCAAATCATAAAAACTTTATGAAAAGCAGTTTATTAAGCATTTTTATTTATTGCTGGGAGGGTAGAGAAGTTGGAGGGAATCTGATAAGACCATCTAATAAACCCAAAATACACAAAAGAATTTGTTCTCCAGTAAGCAACTGTAAAATTACAATAACAGATACTGGGAAGTTCTAAAATTCTAATTTAGGTTCACAAGTTTTCTTCTCATTCATTCAACAACTATTTTGTTGACCCGTACTAGGCTAAATTATGCCCCCCAAATTTGTTCAATTCTTACTCCCATTAACTGTGAATGTGATCTTATTTGCAAACTGGGTCTTTGTAGATGTAATCGAGTAAAGATGAGGTATTACTGGATTAAAGTGGGCCCTAATCCAACAACTGATGTCCTTATATGAAAAGAGAAATTTAGACAGAGACACACAGAGGGAAGACAGCCATGTGAAGATGGCAGCAGAGTGGAGTGGTGCTGCCATAAGCCAAAAGAATGTCAAGGATTGCCAGCAAAAACCAGAGCTGAGCCGGGCTCGGTGGCTCAGCCTGTAATCCCGCGCCTTTGGGAGGCTGAGGTGAGTGCATTGCCTGAGCCCACGGGTTCGAGACCCGCCTGGGCAGCGAGACCTCATCTCTACAATAAATCAAAAAATCAGCTGGGCGTGGTAGCCCATGCCTGTAATTCCGGCTACTCGGAAGGCTGAGGTGGAAGGATCGCCGGAGCCCAGCAGCTTGAGGCTGCGATGGCTGGAAGCGGCCACTGCACTCCAGTCTGGGCGACAGAGTGAGATTCCAACTAAAAAAAAAAAAAAAAAAAAACCAGAGCTGAAAGAGACCAGGAAAGATTTTTTTTTTTTTTTTTTTCCCTAGAGCCTTTGGGGGAATCATGGCCCTGCTGAAACCTTGGTTTTGGACTTCTGTCCTCTAGAACTGTGGGGCAATAAGCTTCTGCTGTTGTAAGCCACTCTATATGCGGTGATTTGTTACAAAAGCCCTAACAAAATAATGCAGTATTGAACGAACTATCCACCAAACATTAGGATACAGTGGTAAATAAAATAGATCAAGTTCCTTATCTCATGGCACTTATATTGTGTAGATGGTTGTGGGAGGATGGGCAGAAAATAAACATATACATAATATTTTACTATGTCTGATAATAAGTGCTAAAGAGAAACCTAACCTATTGTAATAGAGATATGGAGTATATGGGGAGCAGTTGCTATCTTATATGTGGCAAGCAGGAAATATATCTCTGGGAATAGAATTTCTTAAATATGTAATCAATTAAATAGTCATAAACAAAATTTTTTTCATGTTACAGAAAATAAGAACCAAGAATTACTATTTTATTATAATCAAGTACAAGGAATTAAAGATAGAAATTATGTTTTAAAAACATATACGGAGATTTTAGAAGCAGAAAATATTATCCCTTAAGGTTGAAACACACAGTCAAAACATAAAGGAAGTGAATCCATTCAGTTAAATATTGTCAACACTTGAGCACACACCTATGATGGAACAAACCATGGAGATTTTCAGAAGAGCATCCCAGGTAGAGGGAACAGCAAATACAATTGTTCAGAGAAGTGTGTTCCAACTTTTGGTGTGTTCCAAATGCCTAAGAGGTCAATGAGGCCAGAGCAAAAGGGACCAGTGGAGAGTGATGGGAAAGAAGATGTATGGTGTTGGGGGTTGGGATTTCTCAAATTAAGAAAAGCCTTGTAGATGTATGACCAAATATCTCAATTTGCCTAGGAAAGGCTAAGTTTAGACTGTTGTCCCAGTATAATTCTCTGATTTGCAACGTTGGAATCTTCCAGTGGTAACCTGGACCAGAAAGTAGCAACAGAAGTAGTGAGAAGTGATTGGATGTTGCAGATTTTTTTTTTTTTTTGAGTTGGGGTCTCACTCTGTTGCCCAGGCTGGAGTGCAGTCACATAATCACAATTCACCTCAACCTCCTGGGCTCAGGTGATCCTTCCACCTCAGTCTCCCAAGCAGCTGGGACTACAGCAGCATGCCATCAAACCTGACTAATTTTTAAATTTTTTTTGTAGAGATGAGGTCTCATTATCTTGCCCAAGCTGGTCTTGAACTCCTGGGCTCAAGTAACCCTCCCACCTCAGCCTCACAAAGTGCTTGGATTACAGGCATGAGCCACAGTACCTGGCTGGGATGTTGCAGAAATTTTTAACATACAGTCTTTCCTTGAGAAGATTACTTTGCTTCACTATTTTAACTTACTTTTGTAAAAACCAAATGTAATTTCTCTACAAGGGCATCCTGAAGATTAGGTGATAGCAAAATCATGGGATTCCATGCACTGATGATGTGTTAGCAATGTTTAAACATATTATAAATAGCACACATTGACGTATTAACATGGAAGGCAGCATCATAAAAGCAGGTTGCTGCTAATTTGTTTTCTCTCTCATTAGGTTTTAACCTATGTCTTTTGATATTCATTTTAGTACAAACAGCTATAATGATTTCAAGCATATCTTTCCTATCTAACTAATATGCATTAATTTGAAGCATATGAAATTGCCACTTTTGTAGGTCAAAATGTTCAAATATCTGTGATTTCTTAACATAGTAAGAAAGGATCCATCAGGGAATAAAGAAAGAGGGTTAAGAGATTTTGAGAGTCCCCTCCAGAGGTTTCATGGTCTGGGGAAAGTCACTAGTGTTTTATTATTTTATATTCATTGTGAGGTTTATGAAATAAAATAGTGGTCAATTACATTGTGGTAGAGTGTTTAGTGATCCACAGAGACAAATACAATATGGTTAGCGATGACTGTATTCCTCACTTTTCCAACATACAAGTTGGACTTACAGAGGTAATACTTCCCTTGATGGAGGGGAATGTAAGTAATATTGCAACTGTCCTGAATGTACATTGTACCTGGCTGGCTAATCCTTGTTTTTTTTATTATGCCCGAAGCCATGGATGCTGCTTATCATCTTTGTAGGAGTAGAATAATTGTTCCACAAAGCTCACTTTGTAATTTTACTCTGCCTTTATTAAAATACTGTAGTCTTTATTTGTGAAGAAAGATACTAAAGCATGCTGTAGGTCAGAAATTTTCTGGTGATAGGGATTAGAAGACTAGAATCCATTCTATTTTTAAAACTTTATCTAAAAATGGTTAGAAAATGTATGCTGACACTTAGCCATTCTAGTTTATTGTTTTTGTTAGTTACTTTTTTCTAAGACTTCTTTACAAATATGCTTTTCCTACTAAAATTCTGTTTAAATGATGGTTATTACTTCCTAAAAAATTTTCTTCCTATTGATTTATAACTGATCTAATCTTTTCACTATTCAATGTTGAAAAACAAATTTAGCCACAATGAGACAGATTGTGTTCAGATATTCAGAAGGTGAAAAATTCCTGTACATCTATACTGCTGTGCAACCAACACTGTTATCCAGAACCTTTTTCATCTTCCCAAACAAAAACACTGAATCTATCAAACAGTAACTCCTCATTTCACCTGTTCCCTCTTCCTGGAAACCAACCTTCTACTGCCTGTCTCTATAAATTTGATTACTCTAGGTATCTCATATAAGTGGCATCAAACAGTGTTTGCCTTCCTGTGTATCTGGTTTATATCACTTAGCAAAATACCTTCAGGATAGTAAATATAATTTATGAGAGGCATTGCTTTGAATTAAGCTCCTGCTCTAGGCTCCAATAGACCAGACCAAATCAGAATGGTGTCTCTTGTGCTAGGTGAGATGTAATCAAAATAAATTTTGAAACAGGCCAGTTTTCCAAAACTCAGGAGATTCAAACCAATTAGAGGCCCGATCTACCTGAGTTGATAAGGAAAGTAACTTTTCAATCACCAATCCTCTTTTTATTCCGTTTCTGCTTTTTTCATCACCTTTCTGCCTAAAAAACCAAACTCTTCTAGCCATCAGAACACGATGAGATATTGTCCAATTCTAGAATTGCTAATAAAAGTTAATTTGATCTTTAAACTAAATTTGTTGTAATTTTGTTTTTTGACAAGGGTTAATATTCCATCGTGTGTATGTACCACTTTCTGTTCATTCATTCATCTGTCAATGGACGTTTAGATTGTTTCTACCTTTTAGCTACAGTATTGTGAATGATGCTGTTATGAACATTGGGATATATCTGTTCAAGTCCCTGCTTTCAATTATATCTTTTTTTGTAATAAGGAGGTTTATTTAGTTTTATTCTTAAATTTAGAACTTGAAAATCACTATGCATTATTTTATATAATATTGAATAACATGCTAACTGATCTCATATTATATTATTATATTTTATTATATATATTCATATTATACCAATGATAGTATTAAAGTCTAACAAATTGCCTTTTCTATTTTGAAAATAGACAATTCAAAGGCCTGATAACTTATCAGAAACATTTGACCTTGATGGTATTTATGATTCAAGTAGGAAAATTGTATGTATGTTTTATAAAAAACTAAGACAAGCTCAAGTTTTCTACAGACAGCTTTTCCTTCTTGATGATCTGCAGGGAACTCACTCACCAGTTCAGCTGTTCTTAGGAAAAATCAGTCTTTTTCAGTAAAATATAATTTAAAATTATTGCCATTTAGAACAGACAATAGTGGATATATTGACAACCTATATATTTTTTCAAATGTGATTTATGGAGTATATTTATTGAAAGTAATTGGGGCCGGGCTTGGTGGCTCAGCCTGTAATCCCGCACCTTTGGGAGGCTGACGTGAGTCGATTGCCTGAGCCCGCGGGTTCGAGACCCGCTTGGGCAACTTGGTGAGATCTCATTTCTACAATAAAAAAAAAAAAAAAGAAGTAATTGGGTTATTTTCTTTTATCTCATTTTTTTCATTCAGATGGAGAAAAAGAGACATGTTTTAGAGTCTTGTTGTATTTTGTTAAGCATGAATTGCATATACTTATGTTTAAATGAATAAAGTTAAACCACTGGTATAGCTAAATCTATAAGAAAATAAATCTTACTATAGCTCAATTTGAAAGGTGAAATTCCTTGCTGCTATATATATCTAAAGTAAATGATTGTAATTTTAGTCTTGACATATGAATCAATAGTAATGACAGATCCTCTCAAGAACTCCCAAACAAAAGAGACAAGAAAATACCCCCAGGATAAGAATGAAAATGTGTTTGCTCAGGATAGTAGTTGTCTTTGGTT